GATTACCCGGGACAGGGCTGTCGATGCAAACCTGAGAAAGCAAATGGAAGATCGTGTATACATCTGCGAGCAACACTTTTACCAGGAGGAATTGTACCAATGTGAGTAATTTAGTATTTGAAAGTTTCAGCTATCAAATTAAACATTTTCCCGCTTTTTTACTGTTACTTAGAGCCTTTCAAATCGACCAAAGCTAGGCCTTTAGTCCAATGTCTACCCAGCACGTACCTGGTGGTGCAGGGTAGACATTAGACTACAGGCCCAGTTATTTTCAGTAGCATTCCCAGCTTATTGTTTTGGTGACCCCATGCCCATTGTGCTCAAATCCCATTCCTACCCATTCCATTGTTTTTCAAACAGTTAATCCTGTCCTAGCTCATTAAATCCCAGCATAAAGATTACAATTTCCAGAGTGAAATGTTTTGCATTTACCCTTTAAAGGGCCTCTCCAGCCAAAAACAAAGACACTTTGACGTCAAAATTGCGTCACAGTGTCACCAAACTGAAATTTTTTTTTCGGTTAATTCAATTTGATTATCGAAATGCAAGAGCTTATATCTCACAAAGTAAAAAATGTCGAAAAACAAATAACGAATTCGAAATCAGCAGCTTCAACTTCTTTAGATTAGCCAATAAAATTCAAGTGTAAAATTTGGATAGAGAGGCCCTTTAAAGAACTTCACTTTCGTGTTCTTATCATACTTATTTGCTTCATTTTTTTGTTGTGTACAGATAATAATCGAAAAACACTGACAGAAGGTGTCATTCCACATCTGCTGCTGCCAAAGAAAAGTATCACCACAAAAACACCCACTGCTGCTAGACGTTCAAGTGATCATATAGCAAAAAGAGAACACGCAACAGCTGCAGATTTATCAATACAAACAAAATCATGCTTCAAAGACTTTGCAGAGTTTATCAAAAGAATCAGGACATTGAAACTGGATGTAATCGTTAAAGAATTACCAAATGCATGTCTTATCACAAAAAATGGTGGTGAATATGCTATACCAAACTTTGAGATAAATGTGGATAAAGATTTAAACTTTTTCATTCGAGAATTTCGCTGTTTGTTGCCCAAAAACAATAATATAATAGAGAGTTAAGGAAGCATAAAGAATGTTACTCTCACTGTGCTGATAAAGGAAATTGAGAACTCTATTATCTGCCCTGGTCCTAAGTTGACTGTTCTAACCGGAAGGTTCAAAAAGTGATGTGAAAATGCATGAGGTGCCAAAGATTCCTTCTACTATTACAGAACACAGTCAGCCATTATTGTCAGCCATTATTACAGGGTGAATTTATGCGTGCTATTAGGTGTCACATTTTACTGGATGAAACTTCTTCAGTTCCCTGCATTGAATGTAAAACAAAGTTTCAATATGAGATGAAGCTGTTAAACAGAAAGCAAAACTTCACAAAGACTCCTGCAAAACTTAAAGCACCATTGTCAGCAACAAATCCAAAGTGCATAATATTACCACTACAGGAAAACCGTTTGCAAAGTAAGCAGCTGCAAGTTAAATTACAAGAAATGAAAAATGAAATTGAAGCTGTCAGCAAAACCCATCAGCCAAAATCACTGTTTAGTACTTGTGATCAGAGAAAAGTTCCTCCTTTCATGAAATTGTTCTGGGCAGAGCAGCAAAAGTTTTGCCTGTTCACGCAAAGTCCACTTCAATGTATCGTGAGATTTGTCTGAATGAAAAGGATGGGACGGGTATTTTGGTCAAATAATCATCATAAACTATAAAAGTTGCAAGTCAGTCAAGCATCAGAGGTTATCATACAGTAGTACCAGGTAGAAGAAACAACAACAATGAAAAAATGGAAGCAGACTTTTCCATGACAAAATGTTATTTAAGTATTACCTTTCCTTAATGGGGATTAATGATAACATTAATGATTAATGGTAAGTAAATAATGCATATTATAAAAATCAAGTCTAGAGTTCCTTAATAAATTTTATCAGAAGTTCTCTTGTATCGGCATTAGTTGCATTCGCTTTCATTCTCCTATGCAGAGCAACCATCTCTTTTGACGGTATAAGGGCCAACAAATTCTGACGTCATGTCAGCCTCGGGGAGAGAATTTCGAGACTTTTTACTAAGCATTCGCGTGAAGAAATGATTAGATTCATGCTCTGAGAACTAAAATCGACCGGGAAGGTAGTTTAAACGGGCAGGGGACTATTCTCAGATAAAAAGAGGTTCGGGTCTCACAAGTTTTCTATGAGAATGGCCCGTTATTAGCTACACATTAAAAGAATTTGAGCAACAGAAATAGAGAACAATCCATCCAATAGACAAACTGCACAAATAAAAAATTATAACATCTTTTCTCGCTACTGCACTAATAATTAAAATGATCAAAAATCAGAGATCTTCCAGTTCTACTCTTTCATAAAAGCTCCGTCCTGAGCTTTGGCGTTCAAGGTCTATGGTAGGGGACGATGTGTCAGAATTTGTCCTGACAATCCTTTGAAATGGCTCAAAACGGGATGACTCATGCATCATTTGCTGTCGTGAAATCTGTTGTTGTTGCTGATGCCCTGAATGCTTTAGCTGCAGCAGCATTTTTTGAATGTCAATTTTTGCCATATCCTTGGCATAGCCGTCAGGGATTTCTTCTAACATTTTGGAAACCATCTCGCCAAAAAGCCTGTCTGCAGTTCGATCCTTGTGTTCAGGAGTCTGCCTTGGCCTTTTCAGGACACTGATAGCTGTTTCCAGCAGTTCGTTAGTTTTCGCTGCTTCAATCTTCTTTGCAGACTTTGCAGATGGCGTATTGTTGACTGGATAAGCATAATCCTTTGCATCATCACCGTCATTTGATCCTTGCTTTCGTCTTGACAAATTTGACTCTGTTCTTCGAGCTGTAATGTTGTCTGCCAAGAACTGCAAAGAATCAAAGTACTGCCATTTGCTCTTATAAACTTCGTTGAGTCCAGCACCACTTACTTTACTCTGATTGGTTTTATTCCTTTCAGCAACGAAATACCCTCTCAAAGAGTTGAGCTTTCTAGTGATTTCCTCCAGACTGGGTAGAGGAGAGAATCCTTCTTCTTCAATTTTATTTGACACACGTTGAACTGCAATTCGCCTTTTATCCTTCAAATGGTACTCTGGGTGCGATACATCATACAAAACCGGTTCATCTTGCCAAGCATTTATAACAGCTTCAACCAAGTCGTCCGGCCATTCAAATTTCGCTTGCTGTCTCTTTTTTGACGATTGTGAAGTTGTTTCTTTCGCTTTATTCTCATTTTCGTTTCGTGCTTCGGGGGTCATCGGGTCACTCTCCGAGCGTCTTTCAGCTTCAGTTCTACAAATATTTGATTAGCAAATATTGATTGTAACGGAATTATCATTCTAGATCACAAACAAACATAACATGATATTACCGTGATAAATTTTCACTGTTTAACTGCCCAATTCACTTAAGATGCCCGTTTCTAACTTACTAAGTAGCTAAATCGTAAGTGGCTTACAGTGAATATTCTATTAAATCAAAGCAATCCTAGCTAACAGTTTGGTGCAAAATGATGAAAGTGGCATTTTAAGATCTCTCACCTTTTGCCATTATCCATTTGTTGCATAAACTCTTGGAAATGTCTTCGTGTATACTCGTCCATCTTTAGTCTTCTTGCAAAACACTGACACAACCCCTTTTAGTATGCTCTAAGTATCGGTTTAGTCGATTTTAGCTATATCAAAGGTGAATTGAAAACGGTTGATGCCATTTATATAGTAAACTACAAGGAATGTGAAACAAGAATTGGAAACAAGGGTTACATGTATCACGGAATTTGTAAAATGGATATTTGCGTCAGCGAAATGAGGCATCACCAACAAGGAACTGCAAAAACAAAAAGGGGAAGGGGTGTAGATGACGAAATTGAAAATGGTAGGCTGAGGCAAATCAAGGAACTCGAAATAGGAACTTAAACTGGTACAAAGAAAACTTAATAGCCGAAATTGCATCGATAGCTGGGTGGGAAGAATGGTAGGCATTGTAGCTATCACTACCTAATCAAACAAGGAATTGTTGACGCAAATAATGTTGACGCAATTGCAAAAGTCCGTCATAGATTCCTCATTTTGTTTCCTTTGGTTTTAAGTTCCTCAATGCCCCTCGTGATCTATAAAATTTTCCATCTATACTCGCTAAATCCACACATCTGTGTTCGAAAAACATGGACGACATGGAGACTGATGCAGCTTGCGCGATTTTAATTGTCTGCGCTTTAAGAATGAAAAGGAAAAAAATACGCAAGGTTTGGTGTAAAGAATGGCTTCAGAAAAGAGAAGACACGAGCTTATATACTGGGCTTGTTAGCGAACTCAGGTTGGCTGACAGAGAAGATTATCGGCGCTTCATGAGAATGAATACCACAACATTTGAGGTAAGGCCCGTTTATTTATTTTCAAATCGTCGTTACTAAATCACAAATGTAACAGCTCACAGAACAAGTGGTAACACATCTTTTTATCATGTATCTAACCACCACAGTATTGCAGGTGAAAGCCTTTAGATGAAAGTAATTTCCTTATTCGATCTCATTTTTTTCAACGCGATTTTATTTGAATTTAGAGATTAGTAAATGTATTTTCTTTCGTTATTTGAAGAAACTACTGTTTACAGTGCGTCCGTACATTGAAGGACAGACAACCCACATGAGACAACCAATCAGTGCTGAAGAGAAACTGGCAGTGACGTTAAGATTTCTGGCAACAGGTGAAACATATCAGAGTTTGAAGTACCAGTTCAGGATTCATAACAGCACCATAAGTTTATTTGTGCCTAAAGTGTGCCAGGTCATCTATGACGTTCTGAAAGATGACTATTTTTCAGTACCATCATCAGAACAAGAATGGATAAATCTTGCTGATGCTACCGAGAAGAGATGGCAATTTCCGAATGCTTTTGCAGCAGCAGACGGGAAGCACATAGCAGTTTACCATCCAGATAATTCAGGTGGGACCTTTTATAATTACAAAGGATTCTACAGCATAGTTTTACTAGCTTTTGTGGACTATGACTATAAGTTCATATATGCAGATGTCGGTTGCCAAGGTAGGATAAGCGATGGTGGTGTGTACCGAAACTCTTCGTTTGCCGAGAAACTTTCTGCACTTGAACTCAATTTACCACCCGCCAGGCCTTTACCAAGATCCAAAAATCCCGCCTGGACGCCTTACAAAAACGAAGAGGACATTCCGTTTGTTTTTGTTGCAGACAGTGCATTCTCGTTGTCAAAACACTGCATGAAACCGTATCCTGAAAAGGGGTGTGACGATAAGAGGCGAATCTTCAACTACAGACTATCCCGCTTACGTCGAGTAACCGAAAATGCTTTTGGTATTTTGACTGCAGTTTTCAGGATCTTTAGCACAAAGATCAACGTGAATCCAGACAAAGCTACAAAAATTGTTAAAGCAGCACTGGTGCTACATAATATGTTGAGGTCAAATTCACCAGAATCATATACGCCTGCAGGGTTTGCTGATGAAGTTGTGGATGACAACGTGATTGATGGGCAATGGAGGGAGGGTAACACTGGCTCTTTTCTGGAACCTTTACCTGCTAGACTAAAGGGTAATAAGCCTAAAGTTTCAGCCGAAAAAATTAGGGAAATATTCGCAGAACATTTTTATGGTCCCGGCGAGGTCCCTTGGCAATGGAAGTGCCTAGTATGAGTATGCCTAGTTATTATAATAACGAGAAAAGATGTTATAATTTTTTATTTGTGCATTTTGTCTATTGGATGGATTGTTCTCTATTTCTGTTGCTCAAAATCTTTTAATGTGTAGCTAATAACGGGCCATTCTCAAAGAAAACTTGTGAGACCCGAACCTCTTTTTATCTGAGAATAGTCCCCTGCCCGTTAAAACTACCTTCCCGGTCTATTTTAGTTCTCAGAGCATGAATCTAATCATTTCTTCACGCGAATGCTTAGTAAAAAGTCTCGAAATTCTCTCCCCGAGGCTGACATGACGTCAGAATTTGTCGGCCCCTTTGAAAAAAAATGATGGTAGAGATTTTATTTTGACCCGGAGTCAAAATAAAATCTTCAACGATGGATCATTATCGCCAATTAAGCGGATTAAAAACGACAGATAGCATCAAACTTTTTTCAGCAATTTAGCCTTTTACACGATCGTTGTCATTCATCGCGGTCCAATATTGAAAAAAAATTTAAGGAAAAACGATCGTGTAAACCCGCCTTAAGAGCAAGAAGACTTTCATGCTTGAGCGCTGTCCGATGATAATTCTTAATGAGCTTCAGGTGACTAAAATCCCTTTCAACCACAGCATTCGAAAGCAGAAATGAGAGGAGCACTGAAACCACTTTCAACAAGTTTGTGTTTAGGAGTGTGCCAGCACTATTGGTATCCTTGAAAACATTGTTCCAATAATCCTGGCATTTCACCTTTGCACTGAGGCTGGCATTGAATGCATGAGCTTTCCACTCCTCGTCAATTTTCTTCAAGGAAGCAACTTGAGAGAGGTATGTCTTCAGACCTCAGCAAATGACGGCATGCTGACGCTGACAGCTTTTTCCGGATTCAAGAAGCTTAGAAAATTGAAAATTGAATTTAGTGCAATTCGCAAATCTTGATTAAATCTGCTGAATGCACTCAATCAAAAAAGTGAGAATAAAAAAAACTGCACATTAGCTTGTTTTTCTCCGAGATCAGCTCTGAAGAATATTAGTAGCCAAGGCTCCAATGTAGATTTTGGTCAGCGGGACTTACTGCTCTGTGTCTTTTGGATTAATTCATTCAGCTTTCACATACTCCACTTTCATGAGGTCTGCGCATATCCCTTTAATAAGCCTTCAGACTTCTTGCTCCAGCTGATGCAGCAAAGACATCTCGCTCTAAAAAAGCAGGTTGAATTATGTCAGACCATCAAGGTTGTGTGCAATGAATTGAAGACATGCCAAAATGAACTTGTTCTTCAAACTTTTTAGAATAAGGTCGTTTGTGTGTGTTGGATCTTCAAATACTGCGACTGTAAAGTAATGTGTCAGTACTTAAAATTGTTCAATGGTTCTATTTACACAAAACTTCATTGAGAGCCATATTGTCTGTGTAGCCTGTAACATGTTTTTCTGTCCCAAAGAATTCTTGAAAGTCTTTCACACAATCCATCTGCTTTGATGATGCATTAAAATGTTCATAATTATTTCTGCACAGGTTCTCTAAGGATTTTGGCAGCGTTTTGCAAGCATGGGAGGCACAGAGGTGAATGGAATGACAGGAGCATTTCACAGGCATTATCCAAGGATACCTATCCGTCAGCACTTTTGATACTGAGTGATGTGGGCCAAATAGATTGCAAGTGTCTGCACAAAACCCTATCACATTTTCCATTGGAATATTCCTTTCACAGAGACTCTGAATCACGAGGTCAGTGATCGCTTGCGCTTTTTTATCTGGAATTTCAATCAAGTCCACAGATACACTTTTCATGCTGAAAGTTTCACTTAAAAAACGAACAACAAATACCTTCTACTGGCAACTCTGGTTAGTTAACAATTCTAACAATTCTTAATTTTCATACTGAATTAAACACAGTCTTTTATTATTAGAATACTATAAATTTTGTCCAACCCCTATATTTTAAGAATATATTTGTTTTGTGCCTGTTATAAATTCTTAAATTATTCTCATTTTATCAAAGCTGCTATCCTTTGGTCACAGGAGAATTTCACTCACAAATAGAAACTATGCCTTAAAAAACTGTGTCAAATGAAAACAACCTATTCGGTCACGAAATTCTCTGTTATGAACACTGCAAACCAGGTAACTGCTAGCAAATGTCACAAAAATAGGCGAGCTGAGGAGAAGACATATTCTTGTAATATCTTTTAAAACTGGCTAGAAACAAAATTCTTATAAAAAGGAGTGTACTTAAATAAACAAGCAATCTGTCAAAAAAACTCCAAGTATTGCCTGTTGGGTCAATGACAAGAGAAAATTTGTTCTTGCTCAGTAGCTTGCAGCCTGCTCTTATAAATTGAAAATCAAGAACTTGAGGGATAATATTTGTGGCTTATGCTTTCCCATCGATACTCTCTTTAAGTGAGAGTCAGTTGGGCAAACTAATGCTCGGACTGTTCTTCGCAATGAAACTTGCAATCTTAATTTCTGCTGAGGCTACTGCTTCATCACTTGGTCCGAACTCTTCTTGTTCTCAATCTTCTTGTTGCATTTCTGCAGAGTAGAGCTTCTGGTTACAGCATCTGTATGGCCTTTAGTCTCCAGGTGTCTCAAAAGCGATGTCTTGGCGCAATATATTTTTGCATTACAGGGGTAAGACATTGGCTAAAAATCACCCTCTTGGTTTCTTACTTTTTTTATCCATGACTTGAAAAAGGGATCTTCTAGCCACGTATCCCAAAATTTCTGCTGGTATCTTTTTCTCTTTCATGTTGCTAAAGCTGCACTTTTACCGTCAAGAAATGCACTTAGAACCAGTGATGGGTCATCATCACCTAAAATCAGACATAGGAAAATCAACAACCAACAACCTCCTGGGTCGTGATTAAAACTTCATCAAGGTGTTCTTTACAAAGTTGCAATTATGCCGCAACTTTTTCGTTGCTAACACATAAGACGCTATTACATTTGCATTGCTAACATATCTTCGCTGTTACATTACACATCTTAAAAAGCAAACATTGAAAATATTTTGAACTTTTGGAAAAAAAGTTAATACTCTAAAAATCGCTTGAATCTTGAAATTCCTTAAAAAATTTCCTTAAACCTTATAATTCCCTAAAAAAATCCTTG